ACCGTTGGTTTTCTCCGGATACGGGAAGGGCAATGTTATGACATTTACCTTTACGTCTGTTAAGAAAAAAAACGAATAAAGAGACAGTACAAAACTATCGGGAATTTCTTGGGGATAATTTTTTTTACCGCAGGTGCAGATAATATTTTGCATTGAAAAATTTCACATGAACTTCTCCTTATAGATATTCTTTTTACGTCCCGTTTTATATGCGTTGTAAACCTTTCAGTTTTTACGTTTTCTTGGTTTGAAGAAATTCGATTTTTTCTTGTTTAGGTAAGAAAATGTTCCTATATAGATTCCATATTGCACGTCTACATTAAAATAAAATTTCAAAAACTATGTCCACTTCCGTTTTATAATATTACATTTGTTGTATTGTAGTGTACTTTGATTTTGAATGAAAATCTGGCGTATTTATCTATTATGATTTAGTGGCCCGGTATACAACTGTCTCATGCTGGTATAATAGACACCTGTGGATATGATAGATTTTTTTCTGTAAATAATATTATACTTTGTTTTTTTAGTATGATATAGTAAATAAGCAATTAAAAGCACAATTTTCTCAATTGAAAATTCCAAATAACAAACGTACACGATATACTTGTCAGCTATTGGCTAAAAAGTGATGGTTCAAATCTGACCTCAAACAAAATCCACGTAAAATATTGATTGATTGATTTATTGTTGGAGTTTCCGGACACGTCAACTGCTAAGGATATTACTACCGAAAATGTAGTGCAATATTTTTCCTTGGGATGTGGGGTTATCTTCCCCCTCTGGATGGCAAGATTAGGCTCTACCGTCGTCTAGCGTGATTTTCCCCACTCACGTCTCTCCCACCAGCGGGGCACCGCCCCAGCCGGGACAAGCTCTAAGCTCCCGACCGGTCTCCCGGCATGTATGATAGTGTAGGGCATGTTAGTGTAAGTGTGTGTAAGGGGTAAGGAAAGGGCAAGGAAAAGAAGAAAGGATCACGAGCGGTCCGTGGCGCGTTTAGTAGCGTACTGATCCGGCATTAACGTGGGGGAGAATCCACGAAAAACTAGCGGCCGGACGTCAGAATCCTCCCTCAGACAGCGACTGAATTCGATCGAACAAACTAGTGTCGAAAATTCATCCACCGACGGAACTCGAACCTAACACCTCGCGGTCAGAGGCGCTGCAGCGACCATGTTAAAACAAAAGTACAGGTAGCTCTAGTGAAGCGTTTTCCTTCGCCGACGTCCGTCCGTCTGTCTCGCCGCGTGGGCACGCGTGACCCGAAAGGTCAGCGCGGCGAGGGCATCAGGGCACTGCGGAGCACGCGTGACGTCACGGCGCCCACGCACGGAGCACGCGCGCACCGCCGCCGCCCCCGCCGCCGCAGAGCGAGCGCTGGAGGCGCCGCGACGGTCACGCGCACGCAGCCACGCCCACGTCACGCGCGCCCACGCAGCGACGCGCAGCAGAACGCGAATCGCGCGTGCACGCATTTTGTATTAAAATGCGTATACCAATGAGGTAATTAATATGGACACAATAAATAGAACCAATGAGTAAAATGTGAAATATTTGAGAGCGTAGGCTTCCGCGGCCGGAGTCAGTATTTACTAGGTTGTCCGGGTGACGCCCCGTCCATGGCAAAGGTGCCGACGTTTCGGTCGCCATTCTGCGCCCTTCCTCAGGGCGTTATGCATGCAATGCAAGGTATTTGGCACGCATTACGTTTGAGCCTAGTAAATATGTGAAATATTTGTTGTTTCTGAAGTTCATTTCCAACGGTCTAATATAGAGGAAAATGTAGCAATGGAAATAAGATCATTTCAAAAATAAAAATATAAAAAAATAAAAATAAAACAAGAGGAGACGTGGGCGTAATTGTGGTATCTAAAAATTGATTCAGCTGCGAGTGCGACGTTCCTGATTTTAAGGTTACGAGTCCTAAGAAAATATCTTCACCCTATATTATCGAAAACACTCGTGTTTCTTTATAATTTACAGGAACGTTAAAAACTAGACAACGTAGTTATTGTGAACGGGTCATCCAAATAAGAAAGGTACATTCAAGATTAGTGTTAGAAGAGTTTGAAGAATAGTTTGGGTAAGAGTGCATGTGTGTCTGTGTATATGTACAAGTGTGTGGATAAATATAAATACGGATCTTTGTATTCTATATTTCAAAAATTTATGTTTTAAATTGTATATTAACTGTATTACATGTTTGAATGCGTGTATTTTTGAATTCAATGTAATTATTTGTATACTGACAGTACAGTTTTGTAAACATTATTTTGTAACATAAAATAGTAGTCATACTATTTTGTGAGAAAATGTGTTTGTTATGTTAAGATAGTTAAAATTCGTATTAGTCAATAGTTTGTTAAACTCAAATCTACAATGGTGCTTGTACTATCAAACAACCTAAATAAATTATTATTGTTATTGTTATTATTATTGTTATTGTTATTATTATTGTTATTGTTATTATTATTATTGTGAACAAGTATATGGGCATTTAACTGAAAGCAAAGTACTAGGTTACAAATAGATAGGATGTGCAAGTGGGACAAGATCAGGTATAGATACGGCCAGGGATAGGGATTGTATTTAATTTCGTTTATCTTTGTTGATTAGTTATGATCATACGTTTGTCACATGTTTACGAATAAGGGTCTTTCATGCGATTTTCATTCCAGATACGTTACATACATTCTCATATTGAGAAACAACTCATATTTCTTAGAATCTTCCAACATTTTATATGTAATATGTTCCATGTTATAGCAAATATTCTTAAAAAAGTTGTTTTTAACTTTTTAAAGTTGTGAAGTGAGATCAGAAGTAAATCAAGACATTCCAAAAAATATTGGATGATTAAAGATACCCTCTATTACTTCCTTTCTTGTCGCAAATTGGCCGGCTAAGACCACACGGATATACACCAGCACTTACCGAGGCTCAGTTACATTTATCCCATGACAAGTGTTTGAGACTCCTACGGGGGTCAAGATTCTACGCTGAATCCAGTTTTTATCTCCCTTGTCCAGTCCTTGGGGTGTGGAATAATGATGGTAATGAAGGGTGAATGGCGGACACAAACATACAGACAAACAAACACCTCCATGCCCGAAGCGTGCATGCTAAGCACATAATTTTTCCTATTTTTAACTTTTCTATTGTTTAATAAAATTTTCCTCTTAATATTGGACGATTTTTGTTCATATTCATGTTTATTTTATTATACAAGTAATTACATAACTAATGCTAGAAAAAGAAAAGACTTTCTTGAACTAGTTAGTTTTCTAATTTATTTCGTGTGAGATAGCTTTTGGAACATGTCATATATTCTTGCCGGCTGTGATTTATTGCGGTAAAGTACATTTTTTTCAATTTTTGGTTTTTCAAATAGAAAGACAAAAATATTAATTTAAGAATATCATAGAAGAGTAAAACCTTGTTCTATAAGGAAATTTTCGTTTAAACTGGAACTGTTTCTAAGGAAATGGGATTTAAGCGTTACTGTATATGCGAAATTTGAAGCTTTTTCACACAATAGTTTTAAGTTTTCGAAAACCTTTATTTTTAGCCATTTAAAGCACCTCTATTCACAAATGTAATGATATATATTCAAATCGCTAGATATTTGCATATTAAATACGTGAGAGTTTGAAAAATTACATTTGTGTAATTATTGAAAACATCAACAACATGAATTTTAAGTAACCTTAAACAGTGCAATTAGCACAATTCGAATGAAAAGTTTAAAGAAAAAAAAATTGGAGCGTTTTTTTAGAAAAATGCATTTGAGTGTTTCTAAAAATTCGGAATTTTGAACTCTTTCCATATCATTTTTTTTAGAATTGTTTTTGAGCACCGCTCCAGCGGAGATAAACTCTGACCTTCCGACCGGTCACCCACCATGTGTGATAGTACAGTGCATATAAGTGTAAGTGTTTTTAAGTAACTGGTGAGAATAAGACAAGGAAGCGGAAAGAAAGATCGCGTGCGTTCCGTGTCCTGTTTGTTAGAGTAACGCTCCATGTTCGCCTCCATCCCACATTCGATGAGTGTTCATAGGAGAAACCACGGAAAACTAGTCAGAGCATTCGGCCGCTAGAGTTCTCCTCCAGACATCCACTGAATTCGACGTAGCTAACAAGCTAGTTTCGAAAATCCTGGTACAGTCGGGACTCAAACTCTATTACCTCCCGGTCAGAGGCACCACGTCATCACTTTCTGCCTTGAGACACCTCTCTTGTTTACCCTAGCGAAAAATCGCCCGACTCCGCTACAGCATTACAATATGATGAAGCGAGCATTACGCGAGTGCTTAATAAAGAGAAACCAAAACGAAGTTCCTCAGAACAAATACATTAAATCAAAAGCTTTTAGGGCAGTCAGAGTCTGAGTTACACTGGTGCGCGATAATCCCCTCGAGTGTAAGGCTTCTCAGGGGCGGGGCGCAGCCGGTTGCGTAGTTCGAAAGCACAAGAGGAGAAGTCCATCGGCGCTGGGCACTCGGGCGGAGGGCACTAATGGGTCCGCTGCCCCGAATCCTCCCTTCTAAAGCTGACATCTCGCCGCCGCCACCACCACTCCTCCCATTCGCAGGGTATCCGATGTCACGCCGTCTCATTTACGTTAGTTACATTTGGGTTTACAAGGAAAATCCTTACGATCTTAAGTATGATGAAGGCTGGTTCATGGGGTTTCGTGAATGAAATAATAGACCATTTTGAGAAATAATAGACCCGTTTGCCAACGTTTCGGAAAATATAAATAGTTCTGAAAAAACTCCAATACTTTTAACAACCGGTTCTGTGATCTACAAAACTTTTAACAACCGGTTCTGCGAACTACAATAGTTTTAATAACCGGTTCTACGAACTACAATAGTTTTAATAACCGGTTCTACGAACTACAATAGTTTTAATAACCAGTTCTGCGAACTACAATAATATTAACAACCGGTTCACGCGAGCCTGCTGAACAATAGAAGTGCGTCCAGTACTCACGGCTGACGTCGTATCGGATACCGTAGAGCTCGTCGATGCAGGGCTGCACGGCGAGGGCGCCGGCGCGCGTGGGGGGCCAGCACAGCAGCCCGTCCCACAGCAGCGGGCAGCGCCCGCCCTCTGCCGCCAGGCGGTGCAACCACGCGGAGGCGTTGGCGGCCTCGCATGCTGCCCGGCGCTGCAGCGCGCGCTCGTCCGGCGCCAGCATCTCGCTTCGGGTCTTGCGCTCACCGCTCGCGCGTACGGTTACAGGGCGGAGTTGGCGTAGGCATTTGCTTTGTGCTAACGGCTGCGGTGGAACATTGGAATGATGTTCCAGCACCTGAAATTTGAAATTTCGCCAAATGATTAAAATTAATAACAATTTATAACAATAATTACACTATATAACATTATAAATATTTTATGAACATTTACTATGTTATGGTAGTATTCTTTAAGAAATAATTTGAGTAGTCTCTTCTTCTTTATACGCTGTCTCCTCTTAGAAGGTTGGCTGTCATCATGGCAACACTCAGTCTTGATTTTGCTTCTCTAAACAATTCTGAGCAACTAATTCATGTTTTTAAATTGTCCAACCAAAATGTATGTCGTCTTTCTCTTGCTCTTTAACCACAAATCTTCCCATGTAAAATTATCTGTAAATGCTATATTTTTCTTTAGTCACAATGTGTTCTAAATACTGTAACTTTCTTACTTTAATTGTTTTTAAAATTTCTTTGCGTTTTGCAATTCTCGGGGTTTATTTGTAGTTCTTGATTTCCAACTGATTGTACGTATTCTTCTGTATGACCACATTTCAAATGCTTTTAGAATGTGCATGTCTCTTTTTTTTTTAAATCCAAGCCTCCATTCCATTAAAAAGATTCGAAAGCACATAACACTTTAACAGCTATATCTTAACACAAACTTAATTATGTTGTGCAGAAGACAGTACACATTATGTTAAAGACGCTTCTTGCCTCAATCCTTCCCGCATTCATCTCATCTGATTTGTCATTTTCCTAAGCTATAGCAGTGCCAAGGTATTTATATCTCTGACCTTGTTGATTGTCTCTCTATAAGTTAAAATATGTCCTTGTTGATATGTTGTGTAGTTTCTTATAAATTCTATTTTAACTAGAGTTTCCTACGTCCCTTTGAATTTCGTAGAGCATTACGCTCTATTTATATTATAAGCGTAAGAGTGTTAAGCATGATAGATGTTGCTTCATAACTAAGACTTATTAAATCAAGTACTGCTACCACGAAACGCTCTTTTTTCATTAAAAACGGTCACGTAATATTTTAAAACTTGAATGTCAGTCCTTATTAACGCATCTCACCCATTACTTGTAAAACGCATCACCAATCCAGCGTTTGAAGAGAGAAAACTTGCTTAAAGCTAATACCTCAACACAAATTCGACTATCCAACAAACCAAAACTGCGTTGCATACGGCGAGAAATATAATTGAGCAGCAACACGAAGTAATTCTCAGAATTTTAAACTGCCGTGACTCCGCATTGCCATAGCCTTCTTACGGTCTTCTTACTTCTTATTGTCTTCGTACAATGTGATAGCTCATGAAATACCGCATCATAGGAATCGCAGTAAATTCGAAGTGGAAATTGCGAATAAACAAAAATTACACGAAACTACTCATACTTTCAAAGTAATGTACATGACCATTTAAAAAATCTAATTTTAAAGAACAGGTTTTATAATGTAAAAATATGTACGATCAATCTTAGTGCAAGCTTCAGATAGTAGGGGGATCGCAGGTGGCGGATAGCGAATGGCCTGTAAATATACAGAGTACCAACAATGAAAGCAATAGTTTTGGAGTTCCCACGGACCTATGTGGCTAGAAGACTAAGAGTGCGAGAGTGTGATCGGTGGCGAGAATACATTCATTAAAAGCTACAGAAAGTTTTCCTAGGGACATGGCGAGTAAGCACCGCCTTCAAACAAGTTCTGCCCTCGTTGCCTTGTGGGTAGGGATTAGATCACTGGCTAAGGGAAGAAAAACTGGCAGGAAACTATGGATAAAGAAAGTATAGTGAAAGCAATCTCTCAAGAGGGGTAAACCCCCACAAAAGCTGTTTCCCCAGGTTGGGGGTTGCACTCGGGAAAGTAAATATATTTGGATAGGTCTGCATAGAATGTATTACCTTTCAAATAACTAGAGCCCAAACTAACATTCTGCAATCCTTACAGAAATGTAGACTGTATATATTAACAATACAATAAGAGAGATGTATGGAATAAAAATATGAAGGGTATATTATCCGTAATGGTGGTTCAACCAATACAAGAAATGAAGGTGCTGTGAAGAAGAGACTACAAGGAGTTATTATGTAGTTTAAATAATTTTATTCAAGAATTTGTACGTTACAAAGTAGAGGAAAATTCTGTAACACCACGCCTGGTAAAATGTTTGCGCCGACGGAGGACAAAGAAGTTAACATAAAGAGTTAATTTTACTATTGAGTAGATAAAATATAAATAAACACCTAAATTTGTTCTTAAGATATTATTAAGAGAACTGAATGCTCAAATAGGGAAGCACATATTCTGAACATGGAATTAAGGTCAATATAGTCTCCATGAGTAAAGTAACGATAATGGAGAAAAAAACAGTGGAATAGTCGTCTTAAACAATGTGGCCGTCATTCTTGATTGTAAAGTATCACCTCTATTTTATAGTCAGCATTTTTTAATAAACTATTTTTTTAGTCATAGTAGTTAAATTATTATTTTTATCGACAAACAGACACGGTACTATGGTTCGAAGCTATGTTTCGTACTATGTGACATCAGGTACATCGTCCAGATGCCCAAGAAGGAAATGAAAGACTTCCAAGAAATACAATGAATACTTTCATTTTACTTGAGCATTACATTACTTACAATTTACTACGTAAGTACGTAGAGGGTATAGAAAATACAAATAAATGTAAAGGATATAATTTGCGCGTTTTAAATGAGATTGCATTAGCATTTTGTAATGTCAAATCAAATGTGACCCTTAAAGTTAACGTAGAGAGAAGTGACGGGTAATAACAGAAGAAGCACACGAGCCTATTTTTTGAATCGCCCTCTGCAGTACGTTTCCTAGCCTTCATCTCTCATGACTGCACAAGCACGAAGAACTAGTGAATGCAAAGAAAGGCGAAGACAGAATGAACAGCGTCAAAATGAAACGAAGCCAAATAAACAGACACACCAACACATGTGTGCAACATGAAACGGAGTATGCAGTAGAGCCGGAAGCAAAGTCACTCGGATCCCACCTTTTTCGGTGATGAGATCATGGTGCTAAAACCACAATGGCCTATAATTCTTGTTTGGTCCTTGTCTGCAATGTATTTATAAAGATGATTTACTCAAATACGCATGAAATAATTATATGCGTCGCCATTGCCAACAATATTATTTATTAAAATAGCAGCTTTCGATGGCTTAGCCATCATCATCAGTTTTCTGCTGTATGGAAGTCACAAAAACGACTACCATTTTGTACTAAAAAATCTGTGTACTAAAACTACAAAAACGAATACGCATGTTTTTGATTCGTCTGAAAGATGGACCGAGAACATAGTGTAGGTAATTTCCATTTGGAATGTTCATAAACGTGTTTTTGGTGTATTGTGTTGAAATCCATGATTTGTTACACAAGGTGAATTTGCAATAAAGCGAAATGCTTTACCAATAAGCAAGGCGTTGGTAAAACCAGTGAAAAATGGCCGAAGTTGGTTTACATGAAAAAACATGAGTTCTGGTCGCACTTTCCAACAACAGCAATTAATTAAATTTCTGTGGAATTTCCGACTATTTTAAAGACATGTTCCGTAGTCACAAATATAGTAATCTTATGAGGAGGGACATTTTTATAAAAACATAATGAAATAAGCAGACAATCTGTACGTTGATTTGAAATGTCCAGGAGTAAGCATATAAAAGGTAACTTCACATTCTTTACCTTCCTTTTTCTGACGTTGAAAAAAGAACATCCTGCCGTTGGTAAGCTTCTAAAAATGTCCAAGTGCGGCAAATATTACTGAAATATACAAGTTACCTACGGTCCGGGGTGTCAAACAAACATATTTTAATTTGCAGCGAGTTAATAACGGCGTTCACTATCTCCCACGTCTGATAATACGATCAGGTTGGCTACAAAAATTCTTTTAGAACTAAAAGTTATGCCATCGCTCGCGAATTTCTTGGCAGGTGGCAAAGTTCAGTCGTCGTCTCTAAAATGAAAAACCTCCTTTACTTCAGTGATTCTGGGTGAAACCGTTTCATTATTCCCGTACGTTTAGTGCATGTTTTCATCGCGGGACGCGGTGGTGATTTCTCCCTGCTGGATGACGAGGTCCGGTACCAACCTACAGTTTAGCTTGCGGAGTTTTCCCCGACCAGATATCTCCCACCAGCAGGGCACCGCCTCAGCCCAGCCGGGGCAAGCTCTAAGCTAGCGAATTGTCTCCAGGTGTTTGTGGTAGTGTTGTGCATGTTAGTATGTGTGTAAATATGAGGTGAGAATAGGACAAGGAAGAGGAAAGGAAAATTGCATGCTGTCCGTAGGCCGTTTGTTAGGGTACTGCTCTGGTATTCGCTTAGTGTGGATCGAAATAACTCGGAAATCTATCGATCAGAGCAAACGGCCTCTAGAACTCTCCTTCAGGCACGGCCTAGCTTTTTAGCTAGAGTCGAAAATCTTGCGAAAGTCGAGCCCTCGGCGAACTTCTTCGTAGCTTCAAACCCCTGCGTCGAGACAGGCAGGGAAGTAATGATAAAGATGGAGACAAAATCTCCCCGGAAGGTGGACTTCATCCGAACCGCAAATAACAGAGCTGAGAAAAGCGCCTGAGACTTGCCCTAGGAAAGCCACTCAGAGGTCTCATCCCCTCGTAGCCTGGCTGATCCTCAACACGAAGACTCACCAATGCTTTTAGCAGAAGCGTGAAGTTCACAAATCCTTTCCACTGGAAAAACGACTCCAAGGCACGGACTCCGGTGACTTCTTGTGTTATTTTTTCGAAGAAGCACTTTTGGAAACTCTAAAACGTAGAATTTCAATATTATCTCAATATTTCCCCATAAATTTGTAAAGAAATTACATATAATGAGAGAAAAGTTTAGATTTTGATTGTTGTGAAACAATTTTGAAAATTGAAAACATCGAAGAAATAGAAAATCGACCTGCGTAATATATATCAAACTCCGTAACTATAAGGTTTCTCTCTATTTCTTTAAGTGATTTTTAAATTTCACCGTAGCTTATGCAGTAGGGAACGGAGGCACGGACAGACAGAGACAATTTGCTGATAATCGATTATTCGGTGTCAAGGACACAGAGAACATGGATTCTGTCTGTACCACATGTCAGAGGATTTTTTTTCTAAATTTAGCAACTGGATTAATCGTAACCAAGCCCCTGTAATTAACGGTTTTCTGTCGAAAATTGGCGTCGTTCTTTTGTGCATCATTATGTCTCCCTCTCTCCTGCGTGAACGATAGTGAGAAGTCAAAATTCAAAACCGCGTAACAGACTTCAAATGGCCAACTTTAAACATTTCTTGGTCATTGGGAGCGCTTTCGAGTTGTTCTATTGAGCTAAAATGTTGCATGAATTGTTTCTTTAATTGGAATGAAATCAGAAGATCATCTTTTGCAAAATTGAGAAATAATAGCCACCATATTACACACGGAACATTATTTTCAGACGATCAAAAATCGTCATATAGATGAAATAAGTGAATTGTAAATCTAGAAAATCGTTGGCAATGTTTCCATTACAATTGCGGTTTAATAATCTCATGTTAACGGGTGAGTGAACCAAGAATCATTCAACTCGATCTTTACACATTTTGTCTATTAGTGTATTTGCTAAGCAACTACACGAAACAATTGGTTGGATTTATTTCGAATTTAACAACAGTTTTCCTTCACACCATTTAATGTGACCAGGTGTAAGACTTTTTTGAATAGGGGATTCCGGTCTACAGTTTACACAAATACTAGTTCAAATAGCTTTTAAATGCAACGAACGCTTGTAAAACAAATGCATCTTTTTCCTTTGTTTTTTGCATTTTTGGAATATTATTATAAGGAAAACCATGATAAAAACTAGATTGAAAAAAAGATTGGTTTCACTTTCCTGAATAATTACATTTTAGCAATTGCCTTCTTCATATTTGAAAAATTGATGCGAGGACACTCACTGTATGAGTCGCTGGCACTTACTGGGAATACATCTACTATACGTGAAGCATTCATAATACCGCTCGCTACAGGGATAGGGGGTTGACTGCGAGCGCTTCGAGTGGAGGCACTTGTAATTAAGAAGCTAACAATAGGCCCTGCTGCGCCCTCCTCATTATTTTGCCTGCCTCGCTTTGCGGATTCGCCCAGACAGCTAACCCCCGTGTTCGTGCGCATAGGGCATCCTGCAGGTCCATGCCTCAAGGGTCCTTTGCGTCCATCCCTCGCGTCCCCCCTACGCGACGCTCCGACGTGACCCTCCGACGTGACCCTCCGACGTGACCCTCCGACGTGACCCTCCGACGTGACCCTCCGAAGTGGCCCTTCGACGTGGCCCTCCGACGTGGCCCTCCGACGTGGCCCTCCGACGTGGCCCTCCGACGTGGCCCTCCGACGTGGCCTTCCGACCCTCCAAAGCGTCTCTTCAAAGCGTCTCTCATACCTTTCTGGTTTCTCCCATTTGATTGTGTCTTACAGGCAAAAAAGTATAAACATTATTAGCTCTTAACAAAACGCTTCAAGATCAAGAAAGAAGTAACGACGAAGAAATAAACCAATTTCGAATATAACAGAACAATGTTTGAAGTTGACCACATGGATAAAATATTCGACAATTGAGTAACACCAAGATATTAACGTCTTTGCGAAGAATACATTGTGTATCAGTCGGAGCAGCAGGTAATAAGGCCGTTCGTGGAATTAGACAAAGAAGTCATATTGGAAAAGCGACTTTTGATTCACATTAAAACAATTTACGACATACCGCTAAACTCATAAATGGAGCGCCATCGTAACTAAACATAAAAAGATTATATCGAAGGGTTACAAAAAAATTAACTTCGTGGTTAACATAAAAAAATACTAATTTCTCTTTTGGATTTTCAGACTTGATGATACTATTTTCTCTCAAAACTGCTTTCAATCCTGCTACTTCTATTTTCTCACAAAAGGTGAAAAAGATAAACAGTGATTTGTGGGGTTTTAAAAATAACCGATTCAATTGTTTATACCCCCTTTAAAAGATGTAAATGTTACTTTTTTCAATTTTCAAAACAAAGCATGCCGAAATTTGGATAAGCATATACTTTTTACCGTTCTTTGATTCTAAATTCGAAATTTTTTAAAAAGTTGATTCCATTTATGATTTTTTTTAAACTGACCATATTTCACGCAAAATTACGGCAAAGCCATCCGTACTTTCGAAAATTGTTTATTTTTATGGCAAATTTAGCAAAACACTAGAAGACGGGATTTTTAAAAAAAATTAATGTATTTTCAAAAATTACTAATTTTAAAGTACAATTTGGCGCATAAAGAATTATCTATATTTTATTAATAAAATTCACCCAACCAATAGAAATTTATGATCAACAATAAAAAAATATGTGAAAAAATCGCATAGTTTCATTTAAAAAAAATACAGGGCAATACTAATACAGATCAAGAAAAAACAGTATCGTAGTATAGTAAAGTACGAGGAAAGGTGTAGGATGTAATAGAGCACGGGAGACAATTCTCTGAGAAAAGATAAGTCTACTCGATGAAGGTAGTATATCAAAACGTTCCCTTCTTCGAACTTATACTTCGATTTAAACACAGTGGCACTTCAAGGTAACGAGCTGAACGGAGAGAAGGACACTGCTATCTAATTGGGAGCTTCTTTTTGACTTAACGAACTGACGTGAAAACATCAAAATATGGATATCTGATTTAATCTGGTTTAAATCATCGATGTTTCGTTGTAATAATCCTTGCTCTGAAACCGATCAATTGGCAAACTCGCTCGTATCGAGCAACAGAGATGCTGGTGTTGAGCAAAACAATGTGATTCTGCCCTGACATCTAGCGGATTTTGCGTGCACTGTCACAGCGCTCGTGAAAAATTGTCTCGTGCAGGACTCGAGCGATGTTGTGTCGAACATTGAAATTCGCCGCGCGCGCAGTGGATAGCACGCGTAGTAGCGAAATGGTAGTTTATGCAATGAGTTTATATTATTATTATTATTTATTACATAAGTACATGTTATGAAAACGAGTGACATTTGGCGCGAGTTTTCAAATGCCTACGAAAGCAATAAAGCAACATTATACGGCGTTGGATACGCAATTTTTTGTATAAAAACATTATACATTTATAAGAGAATCAGACTTAATTTCACTTTCTTGTGACGTCTGAGCATGACGGTATTTGACATCTGTGCGTGAAACATGTAGTCGGCTGTTCCGTTCACCGCTGCCTCAACACGATTCTCTCGCTGCAATTGGCTGAATGTGTGATGACGCAAAAAATCGTGTTGTAAGACATAATACGTCATCATTTGTGCTGTAAAATGCCAGATTTCGAACTATTTCTTACTGCAGAAAATGTCGTTTATAATGCTGATGTATAAAAAAGTAATTATTAGTTTCACGTACGTCTTACGCAGTTTAGAGAAAGAATTTTAATACTGTGTTAAAAATATTTTCTACAGAAAAAACTCTTAATGCCGGATGCTAGAAACAAACAATGGTGGGAAATTTTACCCATTCATACAGTAATTACTTCTTCTTGATGTGTAGTCAGAATCCATACGCACGATTTTTGCCAAAATTGCTATTCCGCAATCGATTTAACTGATGTTGTGGCCCTTTGAATGTTAACAGTTATTTTAATTTTCGAACTTATTTACATGAATCTCCTAAGATTTTTCAAAAAAGCTCAAGTTTTTTTAATTACATTTTGCCCTCGGATAGCGTAAACACTGTTCAGGAGAATGGTGGACGTTTCATTTTCGTTAAATCCAATGTTTTTTCGAAAATTACAAAGTTTCTCTTTTTTAAGCGTTTTTTCCATAGTTGCAATATTGAAGAGAGATTTTTTCGTAAAAATGAAAATTATTCATCGCAATTAGTTTTTTCATTGACATCCTGCACGTTTTTTGAAAATTGTATTAATTTTGGAGAAATAATGAATTAAATTTGAGCAATATTACAAACAAAATTACCTTAGAAACTTCCAATTTCTAGCTTTATACTATTGAAAGAGATAGTCCTAAATGCACTCTATATGATGTTATAAGGAACGTTATACTGTTTTTCATTTGTTTTTGAAACAAAAAATTACAAAAGTAAGATAAAATGTAAATATCATTTACGGCGTTAGTATTTTAATAACCAGCAAGTTGTATACATTATTGCATTTTTAAGTAGAAGTGCTTCAGATAATTTCCAATGGGGTTTCTCGAAAACTGGAAAGTCTTTTGTAAAAAAAAGAGCTGAAAATTTTACATTTATAGAAACGCTTAAACGACATGCTCTCAAAATGTCTCCAAATGTTCAACGAATATTTTGATACAGAAGATTTTACTCGTCCAGAACATTGCTAAAAGCATGTTCTACCATTAGCAAACAGACAAAATTGAGAAAAGTTTGTGTGGAGATACATGGCAGTCGAGAAAAAATGAGGCAAAACTGAAAACCCAGCCTAGACAAAAAAATCACAAAGCTAATTAGTACGAACAAGTAAATAACTTCAACTACCTCGTTTGCAAGTTTTCATACTCTCAAAAAAATGAAAAAAACAGCAATTTCAGATAATTTGTGGAACTATACGAAAGGCTTTTAAGGGGAAAGCACGTACAAACAGTCAACTAAAATTTTATAGAACAATGGCAGTACCTATGATAACCTATGGATGTAAAAATTGGGTACTCAATAGAGCAGATCAGAAAAAAATAGAAGAGAGATTTCTTAGGTCATTGGTCTAATCAGTGCTGGACATTTGAAGAAATCGGGACATCAGAGACGAATTAAATAT